TCTTCTTCTTATTCTTTAGGCGTCTGTCCCGCTTGTAGGCGGGGTCCGCTTTTCTGATGTGTTGACGCCACTTCTCCCGATTGAATGCTTGATCGGGGTGGATGTTAACGCTCTTCAAGTCTTCGTGCAACGTGTCGAGCCATCGCTGCTTCGGACGTCCTCTAGGCCGCTTTCCGCGCACGTCAAGGTTGAGACCGATCTTACGGACACTGTCCTCATTCGCGCGAAGAACATGTCCATACCATCGGAGACGGGCTTCGCGCATTTTATCAACAATCGGAGCTACACCGAATCGCTCCCTGATGACATCATTACGAATGCGATCTAATCGTGTGACTCCGGCTGTCCAGCGGAGCATCTTTGTCTCCATCACACCGAGACGGGCTTCAACTTCTTTGGTCGCAGGCCAGCACTCAGCACCGTAAATGGCGACCGGCCGGATGACGGTTCTATAGATCTTGGATTTGAGACGCTCAGGTATATTCTTATCGCAGAGAACGCCAGTCATCGAGCGCCCATTTCAACCAGGCTGGCATTCTCGCGAGAATTCGCTTCCACGACCAGGCTGCCCAGACGCAATTGCTGATCCCAGATAATTGAATGTTGTTGTACGTGTGAGCTCAGTACCATTGATCTTAATAGAGACTGTCACCGATCGGGGCAGTACACTTTTTTTGTAACCATCAGCCTATCCGACATAGTAGACGCCGGACCCGTTGCACCGTCTTCAAAGCGTCTATATCTCGCTAGCGAGCATCACTCTCAGCATAAAGCAAGCGTACCCATGTATGGCTTTCTGAAGATCTTTTGTAATGGCATCCATGACGACAACAAATAGCAGTGGGGATAACGCAGAGCCTTGGTGTACTCCGACAGAGATGGGAAAATCCGTCGATGTGCCCGCGGCAGTTTGCACTCGGCTCTTTGGACTCGAGTACAGGATGCGCACCCACTCAATAAGCTCTTCGGGAACGCCATGCTGTCGTAAAGCATACCATATAACGTCACGTGGAACGCGATCGAAAACCTTCTCCAATCGAAAGGCAAGAGTCATCGCTTTGTTTTCGCGATGCTTTTCTAGCAGAAGGCGAGCGGCGTGTATGGCATCGATGGTGCTGCAACCAGCAACAAAACCACACTGGTTGGTGGTCAGCTCGACGACGTCACGGATACGACTGTCTACAATTCGCTCAAAGATTTTCATGCTATGCGAGAGCAGGCGAATTGGACGGTAGCTAGTGCAGTCCGCAGGACTGCCTTTTTTCTTCCAGATTGGAATCGTCGTGCTCTGTTGCCAGCTCTCAGGCACCTTCTTCTCTGCAACGACCTGGTTGAAGAACTCCGTCAACCACTGTGCAGGATTCCAGCACTTTGATTTCCACAAGTCCGCTGCTAAGTCGTCAGGACCAGTCCCTTTGCCTGATTTCATCTTCTTCATAGCCGTAGTGGTCTCCTCCATGGTCATCTTCTGAAGGCCGTGTACTGGCGAGCACAAGGGATGGCGGGATGAGCAAATTCGACTGTTGAGATGTTCTCGAATTATTCACGGCGCTGAAGTGTATAACTTGTTACAAGATTTCTTAAGATGAGTTCTATCTTTTGCGCACTCGTTCTGGGATACGTTTCAACATTGGAACGCGACACCACAAAATCGCATGGTCACCAATGTGAGCTAAACACCACATGAATCTTCGCGATTTCAAAAGAGCTCCAACCTTGAACGACCCAGTATGATTCTCCCAACACCACTTTCTGTATTAGCCCAAGATTTCATGGTGAACTGTTAATGGATAACAACGCACCTCTGATGAACTTTCCCAGTGAACCAACGGCGATGATCTCAGATCTCGCAGCTTGTGTACAAGTCGAGTTGCTCTCTAAAATAATAAATTGTATTCCATACAAGCAAACAAATCACTCGGAACTCACTGAACGTAACTGCACACCCGACGGTGAGGTGGACGATATCTTCTTCATATTATCCAGCTCATAAAACACTCGATAAGGAATAACGATATGAACAAGCCCTGAAGCAACATTTATATGACTGAGAGAAATAATGGAGGGAGCCTGGAATAGGGAGGAGCGAATTCTGAATTATCTCATCCAAGAAGAAAATATCGGAAAAGCTCTCACTTTCAATGCAGTCATTTATCAGTTCTGGATCGTCGATTAGAGTACACGTGTCAAACACGACACAAAATTGACTAGTACCGGCTACGTTGAATAAATCCTCATAGCTGGAATCCTAAAAAGAATCTGTCAAAAAAATATATTGTACTTCTTTAATGACTGCAAATGGGTGATTTGGTATGGCCAAGACAGAAGCAATGACTTCATACGTAACTACAGACAGCCTTAAAAGTTCCTCTCCATATTCGAATTTCGCACTGCCGAATTCAATCACCTGGACTTCCAAATCATAATTTCCTGCCACTCAAATGCCTTCGTTTTGATGTTTTCCGTCTTCTTGGCAAAACTGATTTTTGGCAAGATTTCTAGCGGTAAAATTCGAGAGTTCATGTAGCGCCTGCTGCCCCTACCGAGGGTTGATTTCGGCAGCTGTGTGCAAACTACGGCACCCTCCCGCAGTATGGATACCTTGACTACGATTCAAAGGGCAGACGGGTGGGTACCGCTTCTCACACCACCCATCTGCCACGTCTCATATTCTCACGTTGGGAAACGATACTGCATGTAAATCTCCCAAAAATTCAGATCGCCGCAAAATTGAGTCAAAACTCCAAAGAGATGTAAAGATATTCGTCGGAGCACCATCACACTCAATTTCAAGCCAAGGGATTTTCCAAAGAACCATTTCAACAGTTCGCTGACCCCCAAGGCTTTTCAGGCTGCTATAGAAGTGTTAATTCAAAAAAGCGAGTTGAGACGTACCACTGATACTGCATCCTGGTCGTAATGAATGCCTCGTAACTGCCGAAGATCATCAGAAAAATCAATGTCCATATCTTCGCAGTCGTCCTCTGCTGTAGCTGATGTTGAAGTGTTAGCTAGTGCCACAAGAGAGGTATTCGGTACATTTTCCGCAGGAGAGTTTCCAAGTAGCATCATCCCAATCTGTGCAGTCCATTGCTTCTATGCTAAACACCTGTTTGAAAACTGAGACAATTCAGAAACACCAGATTGGAACCGTTAACTCTAAATAGTTCGGCTTCATAAAGGGTGGTTGTGAGTTCAGAATGCGGAAGAGGATGTTCATTCAAACTTTGTGGGCCATGGAGAGCTCTAGAGGTGCACCTTAATGGCCGGTTTCTTGAAATATGCGCCTTCTGCGAGATATCTGCTTTTTACATCACACAGGGTCATGCTTAGGATGACAATTGACTACCTGAGGTAGAGTTTCGACTCCATAGGCTCCAGAACAATGAATCTGGCTACAACAGCTTTCGAAGGAAAGCCACTGATATCAGAACGAAAGGGGAGGGGGTTGCAGTAGGTAAAACATTTTGACACTTTATTCCTATCCCGTTCCACCTAGCTGCAGCTGACTACTACCCTCTAAAAAAGAGTACTCGATTCCAGAGCACATTTGTTTTTCAGCTTTTTTTGGTAGACCTTTGCGCACTACGTACCGATCTATTATAAAAAGATATACTCACTCATCATCGGCGTCGACATGAGCAGAAAACGACTCATCGAACTTGTTTCCCAACTCGCCACCGGCTTAAAAATTGTGCATATTACTTGTGATTACAACACTGTCGTCAACCATTTGAGCTCTTAAAGATTATTTAATAGCTGCCGAAGCGCCAACTATTATTACCCTATACTGTTAAACTTGCTATCAGAAATCGACATCCCCATTTCAATGGGCAAAGCTTGCGATTGAAGAGCGGCCGACACCAGATAAACGAGTTCCCCTGCATTCGATTTCTGCATTTCATGAGCTCTCTACCTTCAGAACACAGAAACAGCTTGCGAATCAAACCCGAGCTTGCTCGAACCGCCCCGGCCTTCGCGCAACACGGTCCTCCGAGGAGCCGGATTATAAAACAACATCCCACGACATCGATTCCTGCATTTCATGAGCTCTCTACGCTCAGAACCTCTCTTACCTTCAGAACACAGAAATGGTTAGTGATTATTAAGCAAGAGATACGTACCATTGGAGCACTTTTCCCGTATATCAGCAGGTAGTTCCCAAAGCGATTCTCCTGTCTTTGAATTGTGATAGAAGATTCTCTTTTTGACTAAATGCATATAGGCGGACCATGGTTTTGGTAAACCTGGTATATCTATGAGGGTATTCCTTTTCTTACGAACCATTTCCTGCAACAACTCAATGAAGATTTTATCAACGGGCTATATAACTGAACTAAACCAAAGGCCCTTAACGATACTATTAGAAATTAGTTTTCTGATAAAGAAGGACAAAACCTTGCGTCAACCAAGATACAACCAGGATACGAACAAGCGTCTCAAAACCTTTATTCAAAAAAGGATGCACGAATAAGTGATTGTTTAAGCAAGAATGACTTTGAATATCATGGCAGTTCGTAGGGTAAACGAATTCTTTGGGAAACATCGCAAAGTAGACTTCATGAAAAATGCAAAAGCAGTATGCAGTTGTACCTAACATTACGACAAAGGTGAAGCAGTGGTTAGAGGCGCCGCTCACAGCCTCCATGATTCTCAGGATCGGATGTTCCACAAATCATAGAATCCTTGAAATCGGTAGCACAATATTTTTTCAAAGCCTATTGGACAAAAAGAAAACGGATATGCTATGAATCACAAACATCGACCATTTTTGACTCCACTTCGCTTTCACTTTATGTTCGCTTCCCCTTATACCGGAAAATTCAAGCAGAGCACCCCACAGAGAATAAGAAAAACAAATCTTCGTATCTTTCAACCTCTGACATTGGGAATAGTATAGGCATCAATTTTGGCAAGCATGGGGTAAGATGGGATTGAAAAACTGCCTTCGTACGACTTCCTCACTCACTTCGATTAGCTCGACGAAGATCTTTTCCATGATCTTCGTCACGAACAGACAGCTCATGCATCAACGTAACCACTAGGCCCGTGTACTCGCAGAAGTGTAAATCCGTAATTTCTGACTGCATTTTGACGTTTGCGTGATCACAGACCCTGGTAATACGGCGTGAATGGTAACAAGAAGTCATAGCAAGTAATTAAAGATAAATGATGCCAAAAACCACCGACGCGTTTGACAATAAAGTGATAAGATGAAGAGAAAGTTATGAAGGAAAAGCAGTGCGAGGAGTGAAGGGTGGAAAAGGCTGAGGCTACAAGAGGACAAAAGTCCCGCACTACTCACCAACTGCAGGCCTCCTGCATCCCAGGATGTAGAAGGCTATCTCTGATAGGGGATGATAGACGATGATAATGGGTGATTAAGAACAAATTAAAGAGGGTTGAGTGGGGATCGATGTCACTGAACCCGCGTCAACCCTCCGTTTATAAATGTATAAACAAAGGTGACAGAAGGAGAAAGGATCTTGCGACGATAACGCGAGGTTGATCGTAAGTGATAACGTAATAACAGACGACAGATTGGAACAATGTGACTATGATGACTGCGACTTCGACGGGTAATGTTGAAGCCGTAGATCAAACATATTGGATAGATGTTCGAAGATAATGTGGTCTGATATGTAGGCATGCGCAGTAATATGATAATGCATCGCGCAACCCATAATTATATTAAACTATTACCAGAAAGGCAGAAAAGTGATAAAAGTCAATAAAAGGCTTAACCCTTTCACCACCGTGCATAATTACACATACAGATATTAAAAACCACGATGCACCATGATGTACCCACTAGTAGACAAAGGGCCTAATAAGATTGTAAATTGGCAAAGCAGTCAGAGGAGATAAAAAGGATGAGCGGGACAGTATTATCTTTTAGACGGAACCACCCAATGGACCATAGCCGGCTGCAAGGATGAATAGGCATTACAATCGCCAGGACAGGAAATTCGGGAGCATGGATGAGAAAGGTAAAGGAATGAAGAGCGGCAGAGTGATGAAATAAGGTCCACGGAGAATGGCGACAATAAGGCTCAACGTACGGTTGGGAATGATAGGGATCATAGAGAAAGATAGGGTGTAGCAAGATCAATAGTTGCCAAAGGGTCGTACAAGCGCTGCGCATCAAACCGAATCTAGTGCAATAACAGACGAAAAATAGTAAAGTCAACAGCTTCCAAGAAGGTATCAGATGCAACGCTTGTTATCCAATTTATCTAAATAACATCACAAAGTCCACAACAAAATAAGAGAGTCCGTTTAAGAAGTTTACTACCAGGAAGGTCTTTCAGGGCGTGACGAGCTTTTTGAAAACGGTCTTTTGCATGATATAGGGGCAGATGCGGGGACCACAGAACCATGTTTAATTTTTCCTGAACGGCCCTCTGAATACCAGAAAAGGGGGTCCCTAGTTCGATTCCTCTTGGTGACAAATTTTTGCATTTCGAGTTGACGTTCCAAAATTCGCGCAAAATGGAGTTCTGATTGTTCTGGTTGGTTCTAACTCCATTTTGCGCGAATTTTGGCACGTCAACTCGAAATGCAAAAATTTGTTACCACGAGGAATCGAACTAGGGACCTCCTTTTCTGGTATTCAGAGGGCCGTTCAGGAAAAATTGAACATGGTTCTGTGGTTCCCGCATCTGCCCCTATATCATGCAAAAGACCGTTTTCAAAAAGCTTGTCACGCCCTGAAAGACCTTCCTGGTAAGTCCAGTGGAGGAGCGGAGGCTCTAACCACTACAGCACTATTTGTTCGAAGATAGCGATTCTTTCACTACAGCGACCAAGTTTCTTCAGAAATTTGGAGTATTCCAGTTTCGTGAGGTTGCAGAGATATGGCACTCAACAGACGACATGAAAGTATGCTCACAGTGAAGAAAAGAGAGAAGTAATGAATGTAGAAAGTTATTGAAGTTCATTTCTACAGACTGTATTCCCTGAAGTAGCCTCCAAGTCGAAGTGAGGCAAGCTTTCTAACTGCTTCTGTTGCTTCAAGAAAACCTTTTCATCGTCCGACAGCTCTTCCTTCAAATTCACCAAAGCGTCAATATCTCTCAATTTCCTGCATGATGCTCCTTCTCCGTTATTTTTGCAATGGCCGACGTCGATTGTCCATCTGAAATTGAGATTCTTTTTGCGATTTGAGCGCCCTCCCCTGGATATCTGAGATGCGCCAAATACCATCTACAAACGATATAAAAAATGTGTGTTTCTGCTTTCATAACACAACAAAAGTCACAACGCAAAACGCTCTTACCTAAAAAATGCCCCACTTGGTTTATACGTTGGACCAACTGAGCAGTGCGGACCCATTTTTATGGATAAGAATGTGACTGCAAAATCTCAAAACCTGAGCCACCTATGTGACAAACAATTTACGACCTCACGCTGAACAGCACGAACCTATCATGCAAAAAGGCAAGATACAGCAAATTTGGACGGTTATTCTGCGAAAGCAAAAAGGTGGAGACTGGGGCGGATTGTAAAACTAGCTGCATGGCACTCGGTAGTCAAGAGAAAAAGCAATTGAAATCATCGGGTACATCTTAACGAGGTCCTCTTTTGCCGACGATCTTTGTACGAATTAACAAAGAAGAACTGGCAAATGGCATAAGACCAGATGATGAGTAATGGGCAGATCGTGGGCGATATAGAGAGAGAGCGGTAAGAGACAGAAATGCGTTCATCCAAGGGCCATATCCCATCCTTTCCCCCAGGGGGCGCGACCCTCGCTGCTGATTTATTCCAAGCTTCGGGGAGACAGGGTTGGGTAATAGGACATACCGTTTTATTTTTTTTTCTTTTATTTTTTGTTTTTTTTTTGGGAAAAACCCGCCCGGTAGATTTGTAGCTACCCTTTCCTAATAGAGCATTCTAATGGTCGCGCATGTCTGATCTAGAAAACGCAGAGTATACGGCCTCTACCACCAACCTGTCACCCCCAACCATAGGATAGGATCAGCGGTGGGGACGCGTCCCCTAGGAGAAGGACAGGATACGGCCACAGTCTACGCGTTTGCGATCTGTTCTGACTTTTCCACAAAAACAGGAAGAGGAGAGGAAAATGAAAGTTCTTCCTCACGCGAATACTATTTACTGAAAGATGATCTCGACAACGTACCACTATAAGCTTCTGCCGCAATGCAGCCGGTTGCTTTCTCGCGAACAACGCCACTATTTCAGGCGTTCGAAATGCTTGGCTAATTGCAGCTCTGACAGCCTAAAGAAGTAAGCAAATCACTGAAGAAGACTCCATTTTACTAGGCGCACACGAATGCGAACGAAAATGAAAAGAAAGAGGTTGACTATTAGGTAGCGCTCGTAGCGTTGGGTGAGGATCAATGATAATTTCAATCTTGTCTTATGAGATAAACGACTACAAATGCAACACTCCTAAATGCGTGCTAATTCTCCATAGGCGGAGATGGCTGTGAACAAATGAGTGAAAAAATAAATGCATATTTATAACCATTCCATGAAGGTAGATCATAAAAGCTCACTCACCATTCGAGTAGCTGTGAGATTATCTATTACTGTGATGGTTCCTCCAGTCATTTTCTCCAGTGTTCGACTTAGATCCTGCATAAATTGCATCGATCAATAACGCGAGAAAGGGAGAAGCCGTTACTTCTCAATAAGGGTGACCCAAAGCACGCTATTGATGAGCGCTAGCAATGGGAATCACACTCGTGGCAATATAAATGAGGAATAGTGGTAATTTGTGAATACTTTTTCAAATACGGGTTGCCACAAAACGGTTAAGGACATATAAGAAATCCTGCGAATTGAACAACACGTCCTCTCAACATGCACTTTTACTCTCTAGCAGCCACCTGCATGTACATATATGCCTACATCACTGGTTCTGCTGATTCGCTAAGTTTCAAAGGCAGCTACATGAAAGGTATATCACTCATAACAAAGTTGTATAATAAAAACATAAATCTTACTTGAAGTTGTTCCATTGTTTCCGACTTCAGTTCTTCGTATTCTTTGGCATCCATATTGGGCCTAAAGTTCTGACATTTAGGAGAATTCTCAGTTTGACGTAGCTGCACGCGAGTGAGAGAGAGTGGAACTGTGCGCTACCACCGAGGGTACAGCCTAATCTGGTAGGCTTCCGTGTTCCAAACTCGATACTACAAATCCTCAGAATTTTGCGGAAAGAAAGGACATAGTGATTTTGTCTCAATGTCCACGCGATATGCGTAATCAAACAACAAACAACAATAAAGAAGTCTGTAAAGGAAAACTCATTTTGTTTTTTTAGTTTGCTTACCTCTCTTCCTCCAGATCAGACAGCTGATTCATCAAACGATCCAGTTGATTTTGCAGATTTCCCACAAGCACAGCGTCAGCCATGTCTGGAAAAGCATATTGCAATACAGCATATTCCAGTTAAATAAAACATTCTGTAAGGGTATATAATCTCAATTCGAAAATGCACAGCCAATGATAAATAATCACCTGAGATCGTGACACTTTTACAACGGATCTCACTAAAGAAATGCTCCATTGTTTTCAATAAAAGGGAGTTCATCACAATAAAAGAAACAGTTTATCTAGGGAACTCAGCTATTATAGTACAATGAGATAATAAAGTTGAGAAGTAGAAGAAGTACGCAAATCGTCGACTACTAGAAAGCAGGCGACGAAATAATGCGTACACCCGTAATGCAGAATTGTTAGCTACAGACATACGATGTTACGTATTTATCCCACCCTGCGCCCGTGCGATTGCGTACAGCAGGCGATTACAGTACTCTCACGGCTAGTTCCGCTATCGTTGGCACCCTGTTTTCGATTGAATAACTACGGGTAGAACTTGTGATGAGAGGAAATAATAAGACTAGATGACTTATATCTAGTCTAGCAGTTTTTTGCATATATCTTCGAGACGTCAGCAGTGAATATTTGTGGTAGTGGATATAAAAAATTCCTATCTCCTATCCAGCAAAAGTGGAAGCGAACACTGAACATAACATTTAATGCAAAATGATTGGAATCGTGGAGAACAGTTTTCCCATTTATAGCGCAATAGTTAAGCTTTTGCTCACAGCTTACGTAAAGAACTGCTATTATCTTCCAACGCAGAAGCTGTAAAATCCCACACAAGGTTGGCGAATAAAAGCGCCAAGTCATCATGCTCCCCCACCCCCTGCTGGTCCCCCTAGTACTAGGCTGTGAGTCTAGGGGGATGTGTAAGCAGTTTTCATTACCCTCAAAGTTCACCCTCTTCTCCAAGGCTCAGTCAGCGTGAGCATGCCCCTTTTGAGTACACTAGCGCCTCAAGAAATTGATTCGCAACGGTAACGCAAACGCTCCTGTAAGCGGATTATCTCCAATGGAACTGAATTACATTTTACGGCATCTTCTTACAGAAAGAATGAACATATCCCGTGCCTATCATCTACAAGTATGCGCTCTCACTTTCAGCACAAGTCATCCTCACAAGGATACCTCCGTATCAGATTTCTATGTCTATGGAAATATCTACAAGTGCTAATAAATCAACTAACAACTCGAAAACAAGGTGGCCGTGAGACGCAACTACTAAGCAGTTCATGATGAAAACTACCTCACGAACTCTCTCTTCCCTCAGGTGCCAAGTAAACTTCGTCCCCTCGAGTCCCTCACTGCACTGGTACAATGCATAATGGCATCAATGATTGTTCTAGTGCGGAACATTATAAATACACTAGCACATTACCCTATTTTGCATGTTAAGAAGTAAATGACATGAGGAATTAGAGTGGTTTCCAGCGCGCAATGGTTTTCCAACGATATGTAGAGCATCTCTCGGTACCCGTCACCTATCTGAAAGGAGAAATGCATGGCTCGACTCAGTACAATATTCGGAGCTGTGCTAGTTATGAATTGATTAGTCTTCCCATTTCCTTTCATCACGAGCCCCGCCTGTGATCATCAGTTACAAATGTCAACGCCAGTAGAACTAGGCGTGGGCGTACTGTAATCGCTTGCGGTACGCAATTGCACCGGCGCAGGGTGGGATATATACGTAACATCCAGACATCCATGATAAGCACCTGTATAAAAATCGGGAAGTCACGCACGTAGAAAGCTTTAAAGCTGCTTCTTCGTGACTGCTTTTTCATCTTTATGTTTGGGCAGGTTTTAGGTGTAGTTAAATTTTTGTTTCTGTAGCCTATTGTGTACGAGCATTGATTGTTTTCGTTTCCGTTTCCGAGATATTTGGATGATACCTTGCTGATTTCGACTCAGGTGTTTTATTCAAAGATTCATAGATTTATTTGTTATTGAAGATTTAGTGCGCCTTCCGAGGAGTGAGGCAAACTTTAGTTAGATCACAAGGGGTAGGCCTAACGGAGAGGAACAAATTTCGGACAAAAAGAGAACTGACCATGAACCTTGTATTCTCTGTTCTCCTCTAAGTAGTCCTAAAACTGAGCGTTCCGTGAATCTGACGCAGTGTTGCAGGTTGCTCTTTCCCCAGAGCTACACTGCGCCTAAATTCCATTTCACTGCAAGTTTCATTTAATAGTGTAGAATGTTTGACGCTTTTCTGAGACACCAAAATATATACGTGTTGTAAATACAGATTGCAATTAGATATTGTCTCTATTCTCTTCAAATTTTCAATGATTTTGCTCCATTTTTTGGAACCCTCGGTGTTACTCGTTCTACTTGTTGATGAAGAAATTAAGTCATATTTAGCAACTACTAATGCTCCTACTATCCACCAGTTACTGTAACTGTGTGACGTTAATTCCCAGTCTGCTAACATATGTTGTCTATATTTTATGGTTTTCAGATTGTTCACCGTTTTTCGATAGTTGGCTGTGAACATTGACCACAAAACAACAATGTTTGCGGAATCATCTGTAAGTGGTTTTGCTATTTTCAGGACGTATTCGCTGACTATGCTTTACTTCACGGTATTGTCGTTGAAATCGTTTGTTCTAGCCGAAAATTAATGTATTCATGCAGGATTCCGAATCGGATGCTCCATCGGCTGCTAGAGATCAAAGATTGTCTGCACTCGCAAAGACGAAACATGAGGATTTGAAGGAGACCTTTGAAGAGGAGTATGACCATTATAAGGTGCATCTTTGAATTCTTTTTGTTTTGTTTTGCCATGCAATTAATTTTGCTCCATTCACACATCGTATTCATTTTTTTCGAGCTCTGAGGTGCTTCAAGTATAGTCTTCTATGGAAAGATTTCATTCTGAGCTGATTTTGATCGTGACTGTGACTTGACAGAGCTTCTTGTCACACTGAAGATCTGGCCACAGTGATTCTCTTAACCTCTCCTTTTTTACCGATCTAAGGGAGTTAGCCTAGCTGCTGCATGAGAATGTGATATTGTGAAATAAGGAACAAAGGCTAACGAACTTAGTTGAGGATGCCTTCGGTCAGCTGCGAATCACGTCTGACGACGAATTAGTAGAAGCAAAAAAAGGAGAAATTGTGCAGCAACTAGTGCACAATATGAAACCCAAATTGGAGGAAGAATTGCCTCGTAATAAAAAAGTTTTATTGTGGTTGAAAACGATGACCGGCCTAAACATACATGGCTTTATAGCGGTGGCTGTGTTCTGAATAAACGCCACAAAAAGACTCCGGTGGTGAGTGCGTTTAAAATAGTTACATGGATATTGTGAGGAGTTTCGAAAAATAGCGTGTACGAAATGACGAAACACTGGAAAATTGGATAAGCGATCGCTGCACGTAATGAATTGCCATCTTTTTTTTTCTGTCAGTATTGTTTTTCTGTTCAAGGGAAAAAGGAAGCATGAAGATGATTCCGCTGAAGGCGATCTATCAGATTCCTCTACGGAGGACTCTGAGCCTCCGCCAGCGAAAAAGTCGTTGCCACTGATTCGAAGCCAATGTCAAATGCGGAGAGAATGATGGCAAAGATGGGTTACAAAGAAGGAAAAGGTTTAGGAAAGACAAAGCAAGGTGCGTTGCAGTCCTTGTTAAGAAACCTTACCTGTAAAATTCTTGATTTTGGAACTGTACTCAGCTCATCGACTCCATTGTAAGTTCTTATCGTTTAGGAGCTGTTGAACCGGTTGCTTTGTCTACTCAACGTGGTCGAGTTGGTCTTGGCCACAACATTACCAAGGTAAGATATCCTTTCTGTCCGCTGTGTATGAAACACCGGTATAATTCGAACACCATTGTATACATTTAGACAGTCGGCCGTGACTTTTTGGAAACCTGGGATGAGTCCAAAGAGGACAAGACCATAGAAGAACATGTGCGTTGGATGCCAGTGTGCCCTGAAAGTACACGTGATTGGGTTGTCGATTATCTTGAGGGCTCAGAAATGGAAGTCAGATCGGAGAAGTAAGTCGTTTCCATTTGTACATTCGCTTTTTCAATATAAAAATTGTTCAGCCTTACGTAGCTTAAAAATCATGCACTCCAGCCACCGTCACTCTTTGCATTCATCAAATTCTGGGAGCAGCTCGAATCCCTACTCCACTCCTCGTGGAGAGCTCTTCGTTTTACCCATATCCACGACTTTTAAAACTACTTTGTCACAGTTTAGCTGTATAGCTGAAGCGCAGCTGAACACTTGAGCCCATTCTTAACCTCTCAAAAATTCACGACCTGCATGCCAGAAATTCACGACCGGGATGCGGCGGAAAGGGCTGGAGTTTATGGTTGCTGAAACGAAAAGAATGCGGGATTTCCTTTCTAATTTCTGTTGAATTCCATGAATTTTTCCACATCTCAAAAAATATTCTTATGTCTTCCAAAGACGGCCTATTTCCCAGAACTTATTATTGAGTGGCTGGCTCGTTTGAAGCTCATGAGAGCTTCCTTTGATACTTGTGATAATTTGTTTTGCTGTAATTTTCGGTCCACTTTTTGAAATTTCAAAACGTTATTTCCGTGCTAACTTCAAACAAACCTGCAGTCCGCAGAAGTGTTCCGTCATTATGACACATTAAGATTGGGCATCCGACCGATATATTACTGATCCTTTTTTTAGAAGAAATTAACCATTGACGACGAAACACACTTCTGCGATGGTGAAATTCTGCGAAGAATGCTTGAATCGAAAAATGTATGTTTCTCACCATACTCCATTATTGTTTCACTTGCACAGCTGAATTTGTAGGTGTTCGATGTGGTTCCGGACAGGGATCTTCGAGAAGCACGAGCACGAGCAAATCCATATGAAACGATTGGGGCGGCGTTCTTTCAAAATCGAGCCGCTATGAAAGTAGCGAATCTGGATCGAACTTTTAATTTTCTATTCAGTGGGGAAACCGAAGAAAGACTTCTGGTAAGTCTTATTTTCATAATTGTCGAATTATTATCACGTATTTATAATCCATAACTTTGACATAGTTTTTATTGTCGTGATTTGGCTTTGTGGTGCTGGCTACGGCAGTATTCGGAAATATAATGTACAGGGAGCGACCATTTTGTGTTCTGCTTTTACAGATTGTTATTAGCTTTAGCCTGCATTCGCCGTGCCCTACGTATTCATTTTTATAGTCTATTTAAGAACAGTATGTAGGAATGGGTTTGGGCCCTGTTCAACAAAATAGTATTTATCCAGTGTTTTCCTCGCGTTTGCCCTTTCCGCGTTTTTGTCAAATTTAGTTGACGGCAGGGTAAGCCATCGGCATACTTCTCATAGGTCATATCTTAATTGGTACCCTTGGAAAGGGGTCGTATTGGGTTGGCAATGCATGTATTTTCGGAAGGGAGGATTCGCTCAGTCTTACGGATATTGAAGGCTATCGCTAAAGCTGCTAAAAAGTTCCTATGATTTTAAGGATTTCATTGAAATGTCGAATTTCCACGAAAATTTCCGGATTCTAGTTTCTTTCGCCGAAACTATGCCATACTATTCTATCCCCTTCCGGCTTCATATTGCAAAAGTCAGGTACAGTTTCGATAGAATGGAAGGAAGACGGCGGTAGGAGCAGTACGACCTAGAGACGGAAGTCAGTCGTGGGGTATCAGCTGGAGTAAAGTAGACACTTTGCAAGCGCACGCGTCGCCGTTACATATGCTTCCTGCACACTGCACTTCTGAGCAGTTTCTGCTTATTTTCCACTCTTCAAAGGGGAATAGTACAGCGAAAATGTGGAAAAGAATTCGCTATGTTAGTTCATTTTTTCGAAGCGAATCACAAAATTGGCTCCCCTCTTTGTACCTATACCTTTTGCTGAAGCTATATAAATATTGTAATTTCGCATGCATCGGATTCTCTGAGGTTTCTCACCGGGAACGTAGTGAGCTGTCTATTGTTACTGTTGACGACAGGCACATTCAACTTATTGAACAATTTTTTTGCAACCGGCTGTGTAGAACGATGAAGATACCGTTTTTAGAGTAAAAATCCTCTCAAATCGGAGCGACCTACAAGTAATTGCGATCGAGAAGCACCTCTTTTCTACTTTGCCGACGTTTGCGCTGGTCCTGGTGGATTTTCAGAGTATATGCTATGGCGGAAGGCTTTCTACAATGTGAAAGGTTTTGGGTTCACACTCAAAGGTACGCTTGTTATTACCAGTCATTCGTTAGTAGTATTTCATATATGTAAATGATTGGGTAATCTGAAGTAACTTATAAAGGAAGACATTCAACCCTTGGAAAATTCACTAGCTCTTTGCTCACTATTTTTGAGCGTATAGGAAAGAGGAGATGTGACGATGACGAAACTATGAAATAAACTCTTTAGAAGAGTTCATAGAAAGTGAGAAATGTGATACGATGTTCTCTACTTTTATTCCTTGCATTTGGAGTTTTAAGAATAATGCATTGGGTGAAGCTATGATGGCCGATGGTGGCTTAAGTTCGAGGAGGCAAGAAATAATATTCAGTATATGATGCTTATTTAAGTTTCAATACATGAATTAATTAGATATGAGTCCGATAGAGAGGAAAGAGATAGAGGATGGAAGATAAGATTATTGAATACCTGCAGATGTTCATGAGACTTAACAAAATCGGCAGTTGTGTTTTATTTTTGACTATCTGGAAAAGCAGAGCATTGATCGCTTGCATGATTCCATTTGAAGTATGCATGCAGAAGCGGTTGGTTCTCCGCTATAAGCGAATTTCGTGCTAATTTGAATGGTTTTTGTGCTCCCTTCGCATCTAACCGAAAAACAGTAACAAACAAAGCAAATGAAAGTTGTTTTCCCTGATTGCTTCAATCAAGTAGAAATCATTATTACCTGAGTTTCTAGTTATGGTACGATCCTTCTATGCTTCTGTTCACGGCTGCATCTCCAAGAAATGTTCGGGAATAATCGGATTCAATAAATTGTGAGTAGAAAATTTGCTGACTGGAGCTTCAAAGGACTATTTTGTGCACGTCGTCGAGTACTCTCGATATTAGGTTGTAAATGTAGTCACTATATGCGAACAGGCCAAAAATAAGTCATATGGCCGTGATTAGAAGTGATTAGTGTACGAATGACGTATACGTCAGTGGGTTATAGAAGAAAAGTGGTGAAATGCGTTTTTTATATGGAGAGTGGCAGACGAAACAGGTAAAAAATAGTCATTGAAGAACAGATAATAGCGAAGAGAAAAAGTGTACAAGACAGAAAGAAATATACCGAAAAAACAGAAGATTGGAAATTGCCCATGAGTTATTAAAGATGCGCTCAATTGGGCGAGGAATGCGAATTCGTCTGATTGTATGAATTAGCTGGAAGTACAGCAGCTTATTTGCTAAGCATTTTCAGGAAATTTTATCGAAACGTATTTATTTATGCCAGTTATTGGTTTCACTTTGCATTGTTCGAGAAGGAGGAGTATTCTTTTGCAAACTGTTCGATGTTTTCACTTCATTCAGGTGAGACTTCTGCTGATTATATCGCTATGCTATTCATATATTTTGCTCTTTTACGTAAAGACCTCATCTTGAATGGCTTACTCGCATTATGCCATGTTATGGGTTTTAGCGGCGTTATTGGACAGCGTATGCGTGATCAGCAAGTAAAGTGCACAAATCGTCGCTACAAGAACTATCAGGCATTAATCACCCATTCATAGGTCGAATGACAGCTCCCTTTGTGCCCGGTAGACACAGCAGTGGGCGAAAATCAGAAGACACCGAGCTCTTTTCATACCGTCTCGTAGCAATATCTTCGTGAGTGTGCTAGATTCCGCTTGCTCATTATAAACAGGCTTGACCGATTAACCGACTGATCCTCTTAGGGCGTGATCACTCCATACGCATATCATTCGTATCTCGCATTCTTCCCCTTAAATCTTCACACCTCAATCTAACCTCGTTTCATTGTAGTGCGGGTTTGATATACTTGATGTATATCTCATATGATCAAATTTCACTGCACAAGCCTCATACAAGTCGTCCAGCAAATTCAGAAAGGTTGTGTCTTTTTTATTTGAATCTTCTTCTCGTTGACGTGTATTTTTCTTGTTTAGGTACATAATTTGTAAGGGATTGCGGAAGAATTACTCTGATGCCGTGCGGGATTATTTAAAACGGTTTGCAGTTTAATCTCAATCATATCCATTCTGATTGTGTAAAACTTTTTCGTTTTTGGAAAGCTAGAAGAGCCACAGCTTTCAGGGTTAATGTCCAATTGGATGAGTTTGCGAAAGCAGGCTCGTCAAAGGACGTACTTGCTGTTGTTCCACTAGAAACGTTGCGGAGTGATGAAGAGTTTTTCAAATACCTCGTAGAACATAACGAAAGGTAATATTTGTTCAACTGTTCCGCTATCTTATAGTTTATTGTGGGAAGAGTTACTACCGGAGCCCATTACATTTGAGGTTAGCCGAACGTCAGTCGACATATTTGCAGAAATATTTGAGTTTTGCCAGAAACAGCTCACTGATTGACAAGGACCAGGTAAGTAGACAAATTTCAAGTATATCTTCTTTTTTGTTTTAAATAATGTTTATAGGGCATACTTCGAGAAGATTGTCTCAAACATTGGTTGGTTCCTAACAAGACGTTAGACCGAAGAGAACGAGGTGCGGAACGCCAACAAATAGATCCTGATCAGTACTTTGGGAGATTCACGAGAAAGGTATGGATGGCAAATTTTTCTTTTCAATAAGATTCTTCGCTTGCACACCTCAGGCTGTTCGTGTTTAAAGGACAGCGATTACGATAAAGTGGGAGCGCATCGGGAAGCATATGCACCACACGAATCAGTTACTTGGCTGCCAGGGAAGCGAGGTGTAGCGCTTTCACGACGAAAGGTGCGCTGGTTGCTGAGCAGGACTTCGAAAGCACTCCGCCCCCAAAAGCGATCCGCCCACTAGTTTAGTTGGTGATTTGGACGAGCTGCGTTGCCAGCAGCGGCACAACTGGAGCAACTCGATTGGAGCGTGGTTTGGCATGGTGTTACCAAACGCGTTGCGCTGAACTCGTTCATACGTCCGCTTTCTGAGCTGTTACCTGTTCATGAGTGAAAACCAACGGCCAAAAAGGGGTCCCATTTTGCGTTTTTTTGACGGATTTCTCCGCTTTTTTCGCCACCGACGTACCATTGAGCACCACCACGTCTCCTCTAAACCTTCTTGAACCTATCGTAATCGCTGCTTTTAAGGTTTTAGAAGCTTATTTTTCGGAGATTCAGCTGAAAAGATTGGATATGTATTCCCAAACGTTGAGTATGAACGCATCCTCACGGTTTATATAAGGCGAGTGGTCCAGAAGTGTGACCCTTGCAGTGTTTCACCGTATTTAATTCAGGGCGTCACCTAGCGTTTTAAGTGCACATGCAAATCTTTATCGATCTCTAATGGTTTCAGTTCTATGGTCGCGAAGACTTCAGTGCGAGGCTACCACCGTTCGCTGCTACACTGCTCAGTGAACGAACAATAAAAGAGCTCAGATATGCTGAGTTTTCCCTCAAACATACTCTCAAATCGAGCTTCAACACAGCCCGAACTTTTGATCTCAACTGGGGTATGT